AACGAGACAACGCGACGAGACAGGTTTCGACGTCGACGAATGACGCCTTTGCGCATTTAAAAGTTTCCTCCTCGTTAAGACGTATTCCCCGGAGTCGTCACCGGCAAAACCTAACGAGAGAGTGCCGTGTTCCGCACTGTTGTTTCTCTCCCTTTCTCTCTCCCCTTTTCTCCGCTCTTTTCTATCTTTCACTGTTAGAAACACATTTATTAACGGCAGCTCGGCTCATCCCGCCGCTAAGTACCGGTAAGAGAGTACCCCTCCTTGTTGCTTTTCCTCTTACCGAGAGCCTTCATTCACTTTGGGTAGCTGTCTGCCGTCCCGTTCGAGGGCGGAAGAAAAAAAAGACGTCACATTGTCGACGCCTTATTAATCCGGAAGCGAGGGTGAGAGGTGAAGGCTGCAAGCTTCAGCGAGAATGCTTAAAGTGTCGCAGGGTAGGGTCCTTTGAAGAAATTAAAAGAACAGAGGGTATAATGTGAACACATCCATTCCCTGGTCCCCGTCGCGCGTCTCTTCGCCGTCTTCTTTTCCCCCCGCCTCTCCGTCCCTCCCTCTCTTTGTATTTTTTTCCTTTCTCTCTTTCTCTTCTCTCTCTTTCTTTCCTCTCTTGCGAAAGCGGGACCCATTAACATCGCTATTGCGCGAACTCTTGCTAAGCGCTAGTCAGATAGACATCTCGAGTCTTGTCACGGTTTCTTAAAATGCGACTTATATTCCGAGCTATCACTCTTGCTTGATCCATTCCCTAAACGTTTTCCCTCGCTTTCTAAAATCCCTTCTCCACGTTTAACGCACAAGGACAACAATAAATTAACGTAGATTTATTCTCTATTTTAAGCAATAAAGCTTTTCCAATCAGAAATAATAATTGTTAATTTTATAACGAATAAAATTGAGACAAAGGTGGAATTTATCACCGTAAAATATATTGCAATTTTATTAGGAAATAAGCAAAGTACGTACTAAATTTCCAACTTTGGGGGAACATATCTGCGCGTTGGTATTCGAATGGCGCGCACTCCGTACATTTGTATCAATTCACATTCGGCAATATGCGCGTTTCTGCGGACTCGAAAAGAGAAGTACGACCATTCCGCATGAAGAGCGGTCGTCATAATGTAAGGCATCTACGTAAGGATGGCAAACGAGGACGTTAGCCGAATAATGCAAAGCAAACCCGAGCTGAGATATAGTCCAGCATTTGTTTATATTAAGGCGCTGTCATGGCTCGCAATGTTCGCGTGTCCCAGGATCATCCCCTCCCCGTTCCCCTTCTATCCGCGACATTTCGGCCGCGTGCCTGCGTGTGTTTTGAAATTATATAGCGCGAGAACGCCCGACGTCGTTAGTCAACTCGCGCCACATCTCGCCGTTAACTATGTGTATCTTGAGCACCCGTTACATTGCCATTTGTCAGGTCCGCTTCGCCGTACGCGCGCAATTCCGCGCGTTAAGTCGCGCGCCCAGCGCGATATTTCGGCCGGTTATGACAATTCGCGTCCGGGATTTGTCTTGGACCGATATTTACCGTGCAAACAACGAACAAGCGTCGCAATGCGAAAGGAATACATTCCCAAAGATCTTTGTGTGTCTTTCTAAACAACGTAGCACAACAACGGTAAAATGTTTGCGCCACGCCAATTTAAACAAACGCTTAATCTCGTATCATTAGATAACAAATATATATTTCTTTGAGGAAGAATATTTAAGAAAATCGTGAGTACTTTGTACGAGATTCAATGATCGTCATAAGAGCGATCTGAAATCGTCCTCTCGGTCTCCGGGCATTCAATTCGCCGAGAAGCGAAAGACTCGTCGTCTAGCAGACTTTGATCATAAGTGACACGCGCGACTTTACGGTAAACCTAAGTTCTAAACTAATAAGGCAACATCACGGTGGCACGATCGGTGGGAAGGGCAAAGGTAGGAGCGGCAATGAAAGCAGAAGGGTCCAAGTTTCATGGAGCTGTGAACAGGGTCACCGATTGCGACGTTGATCGTCTACAAGAGACAACCAAATTGGATAAGTTGAAGGAGTAAAATCTTCTTCGTCGCCTATGAGCCTCTATTAAACCCCCGAAGATATACCTTTGATTCTCGTGCATTTTGAAGCAATATCATCGTTAAATATGATGATATTTACATTGAATTCTTGTTCTGCGCATATTTAAAGTATTTTTGAACAGTATGTTATAATTTCTTAGAAATTAATGTAAAATGTTTTTTTTTAATACATTAATATTTGTGTCGCAAATCTAAGATTGACATTTTTTTATCCTTCATGAAATAGTAATATCTTCACGATTCGTAAATATTTTTACGTTGCTTCATATCCGGTATCTTTCTTCGCTCACTCGCGAAAGAAATGGATATTACATTCAAGACCGACATTAAAAAAGAATTATTGCTGATAGAGCAGCACATTTGTTTTCCAGTTTGAGTTTTCGCGCTGGAAGAGAGCGAAGAGCGTGCGTTAGGTGGTTGGCGTCGGGTGTAAATTTGCATTGAACGAAATGAGGCGCTATGGGGCATTCCAGTCCGAAGTTAATAGCTTCCCAACGATTAACTGTATCCCTTCACCCACCCACTCGCCACCCGTGCCCTACCCTCGTCCTCACCCTCTTCTCCGTTCAGCCGTCCTCTCTCGCAACCCTCGTCCTCTTTCTCTCTCGTCCTCCACATACGTCCTTCTTGCTCCTCGTCGCACGCGCCACGCGTTCTAGCTACCTATATCGTCCCTCCTAATAATGTATGTCCCAAAGGTCGCGAAATAACTGACTTCGTCGGCCGACGGACGACAAATATCGCGATCGTTCCCGGCCGATTGGGCCACCGACGCGTAAATTAGCCACAAAAGAATCACAAGCGATCGATACTCCTGGAGATTGGCTTGTCCGTCCTTCATCGCGACGATTGTGGCATCGGCTCGCCTGACAGATCGTCAATGGCACGCGAGGATATGAAAAGGCAGCACCACCGCTGCGGCAGCCAATAGTTTCCAGGCGTGTGAAGGCGCCACGGGGGTTATAGGGCATAATTTAGTGGACAGTTTGATATACAAACAATCTTTAATGAAATTCTTGGTGTTCATTAATAACGCATTACAGCCTCGCGCGCCGGTGTGTCGGCATCGGTATCCGGGAATCCCGTGTTGCCTCTCTCTCTCACTCTCTCTCTCTCTTTCCCTTCCTCCTCCTCCTCCAACACCCGTTTTATACCCTTCCATTTTCCTACTCATACTCCAGTGCCGCCGCTTCCGCGTGTACCATCGTCCGACACCCTTTATCGCCCTGGCTTTCAACCAACCTCTGCTCTTTCCTCCATCGGAGAGTATCCTGGATAAGCCATCATGCGAATATGTCACACATTGTCACAGTAACAATTCAATTTTCCGTAGAAAATCAAACAAATTGACATATTTCTTCTGCTTTTTCTATAGATATTATCTTAAATACTATCAAAACTGCTTGATATCAGTAGAAAAACATATAACTGATTAAAAACAATTCTAATATTCTTAGTCGCCATCGACATGCGCAACACCGACTAAATAAAATTGAAATAAATTTACATTACACGTCAGTTGTATTATTAAATTCGGCACAAAATAGTGCACAATTGCTAAGAGTTTCAATAAAGCGAAAATCCTTCTTAACCATAGTAAGTGCTGCGGAAGGTATTGTTAGAAAGAAATTCTATTAGAATATACTTATTTTTTCCATTTTAAAACAGTCCTTTTTATATACTATTGAAATACGCGCGCGAACTTATTTCATTTTCCATTCTGCCCGCACGTCTCCCCGAGATCACATCGAACGGGAGACACGATACCCGATATATTGAAACGAGGAAGTCTTCCCGGGGAAACCCGGGGAATAACCCAGCCTCTGGGTAGGAAAAAAAAGTAATTGCCCCTTGATACACGCCGATATCCCCACCTGCGGGGGTGCCGCCTCGTAATGATGTTCGCGTTGGCGAACTTAGTTCGAAATTAAATATCGGAGCGAGGAGATGGGGCGACGGAGGTGGTGAAGGGGAACGCTACCAAAGAGGAATCAGGGGGTTGCAGGAGGGCGGAAAACGACGTTGTGCACCTGCCTTTTTCCCGAGGCGGCACGATAAAAATCAAACTGGAAAACAAACGAGAAGCGGGATCGTATTATAAAGTTTTTTAATCGATAGACGATGCGCATCTCGGGGAAGGCGAACGAGGCAGTGGAACGGGGAGATATCTCGCGGGTAAGTAGATGGATAGACGGGGGTGGGAAAAAAAAAAGAGGAAGAAGAAGTGTCCAAAGAGGAAACGGTGCGATCGGGCGAGGAATCCTGCGGCGTGCTTACTGGCTCGTGTAATAATGAATTTATACCTTGCGCAAGAGCGCTTTCGGGAGTAGCGACGTACCACTTTTCTTTCTCACCTCGCCTGCCTTCTTAGAATTTTAATTAATGAAAAGATCCCGACCGACGAGATCTTTACTCGGGTGTAAATCTCTTATTTTGCAGATTCGCGATTGTATATCCGTATTACCGAGTAAAAGAAGAAGAGGGGATTTTAGCTGTCGTAAAAATATCAAATAACGTTCAATCTTTTGACTTCTTTGTCTCATTAATATATTGCACATTTATTTTATATGCGACAAGTAACATTTGACATTATTATTTTAGCTTAATTTAAATTCCTTGCAATAAAAATGCTTACAATATTGTTAGAACATTGAAATAATATTTGATTTTCTTCGTGATTGATTATTAATAATATTTTCTTTCGTTTTCCTTGTTTCAGTCTCTTCAACCGACAGATCCGCCAATATTCGATGTTACGAATATGTTGATAAACGAGACTGCGACGCAGTTGGCGCTATGGGGAAAGTTGGGCATCGCACTCATAGAGCTACCGAAACAATGGGGCAAGGACGCCGTTTACGAGGGTGGCAAGGAAGTGATTCTTTGCACGTAAGTACACATTTATCTTCGAGATCTTCAAAACTGCGCCGATTATTCATAAAAGCATCTTAAATATTGTACAAGCAGCAAAGAATAGACCATTTAACCAAAAGTTTTAATGTTTAAATCCACAAAAAGGTAGTTTCAACAAAGTTAATTACGTCGCGATATGCCAGTTGTATATTTTAAACATTATTACTTACATTTATATTCATAATCACATAAGTATGTAACGTAAAAGTGGATTTGTGAAATATACATTAAAACGCACACTAATATTTTGGTTTCGACGATTTCTCTTAAACATATGCGGGAGCAACGAAATAATTACATTTGCGATATCGCAACGGTCAATGCCGATGCGACAGTCCTTAGCGCTGCCAATCCGCAATCGGGAAAGAAGCGCGTACCGAGAAAATCCGACTCATAAAAACGGAGATAAGGTGAGCGGCGGATAATAAATCGCGCTATCTGCCTTCCTCGCGCCATCGTCTTCCTAGGCGTCCTAATATCCTGTAATTAAGAGGGTGTTACGGTGACGCCCGGGAAACCCCTTCGGCCTCCCTCTTATGGAATTAAGGTAGCTTTACTCGGTTAGTTTTCAAAAGTTCCGGGGGGCCAGGAAACACCGCTGAATACTAACCGCCTCATCAACGACACATGCCACCCGAGACTACTGTCTCGCGTAACATTACTCGGTGGTGTGTGCCGCCCACGGCCCCGCTTGCGCCCCGACCCCCGGCCATAATCTTTCGAGCGATTAGAACGTCGCGCAATTACGAGCGCCGTTGGAGATTACGCTTGTCCTCCGCGTCGCTGAATCACGATGCAGTCAATCGTGGTCGATCAGTTTCCCGAACATTGCCCCCGCATTCTGTCACGCTAGCGATTTCTGTATCAGCGGTTGCAAATTGAAAAGCGAGCTGGCGCAATATAAAATTGTCTCTAAATAAAACGACGTATTCATATTTCTGAGCAAAATAAATTTTAGAAATTTTTTTGAAAGAACATTGCGGTATAAAGTATGCAAAATATTCAAGTCTCAACGATAAAGATGGGGTATCACGCGAAAGTACGGAAAACTCGCTTCTGAATTAAGCAGTAATTAATAGCAAAATACGATGACTCTTAATCCGCCCGCGGTATAAACGCGAAAGGGGTAACCGCTCGTTTTAAGTCGTCCTCCGCATTATAATTTCATAATAAGCTGAATTCAGAATAAATGCAGGTACCTACCCCACTTCCTGCTAATTCGTAATTCCGAACTTTTTCCGGAAGCGAACGAAACGGTTACTCCTCGAGAGGGAAAGAAAGAGGGTGGGAGCGGGGAGAAAGGGCGAGAGAGCGAGAAAAAGGGGGAAAGCACGGCAAAGAGGAACAAGCAACCGCTACTAAACAAACTAGCCAAATTAAGAGCGGCAGTTTGCGCTAAAGTTTTTTCGTCGTTTCACTTAGACGATTCCATCCTGGCCTCCGGGTTCGAGCGAATTTAAGAACGCACGTAGAGCGCATTATGCGCGCATACCACGCGCGAAAGATCGCGGGGAGCAGTTTCTAAGTGAGTCGCGGCCATTAGAACGAATCTCGGGGATTTAATGTCTGCCGCCTTCCATCCAGCTTAAATAAGGCTAAATGAAGTTTATGCGTTATTGCCGTTGGAACTTCCTGTTGATACTGCGGCGCAGCCTCATCTCCTATGTCGCAAGCTCGGAGCGCGATATCATTTCAAAACGGTTAAACATCCGATTTTCGAATCAAGTCAATCTTGAGTTAAAAAATTATTGCCTCTTGTCTTTCACATTATGTTGAAGATGCAGTTTTACAACTCTTACTTCTTATATACATTTTAATTGTAACTTTGCTTTATATTATTTGCGCAGAACTATTCGATTGTCCAAAACGTGATAGTGATTAAAAATTCACCGTCACTAACTATAAAATATTGATGAATTACAAGTGATATTATCATTACTTAAGTATTATCAAAGTTTTTTTGTTAGTAGAATAAGATGTAATTAATCAGACACAAATCTAAGTGCATATATCATTGCTTCGCGGATAAATAAACATTCGTCTATCGATATCCGAGTCACAGGCTGCTTTAGATCGTTTCGGAATAATCGAAGAGATTAAAAACGAGAAAGGAAACTTTCGATAGAACGCTCGACGCATCTTCGTCGCGAGAACGAATAACAGGTCCCGCAGCTTACAGCGGGACGAGGAGGATGGGCTTCGGATTAAGCAAATAGCGGCAATAATAGTGATTATTTGGATTATGATATCAGAGCGCCAAGTGGGTTCGCTTGGACTTACCGGCAGCCACTAACTGCCGCGCCGCCAAATCCTGACTTCAAGACACCGGATTAAAACTATTACCACTTCGCGGCACCCCTTCGGTCTCTCTCGGTTTCATCCACCTTCTATTCTCCCCGACCCTTCCGGATCTGCCCGCCTCGTAAAATTTTCTTTCATTCTCTTCAGATGTTTTAAACGGTTTCGCGAATCGTGATCCACGGGTTCTCTTGGTATTCGTTTGCGCAAATCACTAAGAAGAAAGATGAGACATATTTTTTATCTTGCCGAGTTTGCTGACTATTTTTTACGCGATCTACATGCAAAATATATTCGCGAACTTGTTCTTATTTAGTCAGCGTTGCTCGATCCGACCCGACTAATGATATATCTACTTAGATTTACGTCTGATCAGTTACATATTTTTTTACTGACATCAAGCAATTTTGATGGTATTAAAGATAATCTCTATAGGGAGTAAGCAGAATTTCTACCGCATAATGCGACCACAGTGAATGCGAATCGTATTGCACTGTCGCGAGTCTCGGTATTAATTCGACAACGAATTGCGAAAACGGCGCCATTCCGCGCAGCGCCGGAAGAGATCGTCGCCTCTTGGTTGGCTCACGCGGCTAATTATTGTTTTAAGGATTACCGTTATGTGTTTATTATGCGGCCTGGAGGACCTTGCCGTGCCCCTCCCTGTTACCCCTTACCTGCCTTAATATTCGGTAGATTTCAGCTTCTCGGAACGGTGAGAGAAATCTACAGTTTCTTCTCTCTCTCTCTTACTTTCACTCCTCCCTTCTCCTCCACTAAAAGTCAGCCTACGTTTATGAATAATTCTCACCTCTTATAACCATCCCTTCACACCCCTACCAACCTTTACCCAATCCACTCGCCAGTACCGCGAACATCTCTCCGAACCACCCTCGGAGTATTCGCCTCGTAAACCCCTAATGCCGGCTCTTCATCTGCGAGCTTCCAGATTCTGAGTTCCGCGAAACGGGCGGAACGCCTGCAGCAAGAAGCGGAAAGTAGATAATGGACACACGCGTAATTACAGGTACAAACGTTCCCTAACTAATGATCTTATTAAGAAGTTTTCGTAGCGGACACGATTTCTGTCTCTGGAAAAATGCGGGATATTGTTATTACATTTACATTTTGCGGTCTATTTAATACAAAATGACGGTAGAACTTTTTTTTCTTGTCTACCTTTAACTAAATACATTTTATTGCTAATTAATTCTAGTGCAAAATCATAAAATATTTGAAATATATATATAAAACACGCGAGAATGATCATTTCTGCTGCTTATTAACTTGTCAAGACTCAATTTCATAAAACAAGTCATCGCACACGATGACGAAACATCGTGTGAAATCGTTAATTCTCGTATTATCTCAGGATTTATTGCCTCCATTATCTTTACGATACACGCTAGTATTTAACAAATGATAAAATTGCAAGCCCTGGTGGCGATATCGCCACGAGCATGGTGAATTAAATTTATATTTTTTAGATCGAACAAAAAAATGCAGAGCCACATAGCGTTCGGAGTGAAAGAAATATTTGTCTGGGTGTGATGCGCACGTAATGTTTATGGCGGCGAAAGAGCGTGGATATGTACATGCCTGCGACTATTTTATATCTTTCACACGACCACACATTCCTCAAAATTTATATTAAAAACCATCGCGACTGTTTACACGGTGTAACTGCCAGATTGCAGTTTTATCATAACCAAAAAAAAAATAGTCAATTTTATATTATATTTTGAATCGTCGACATGTATACTTATTAAAAACTACATAGTAAATCAATTTCTCAATTAAACATGATCCGTGTTATATAGTTTGGAAAGCATTGTACAATAAATCCATAAATAACAGAAGTTATTGTTTCAGTAGATGCAACTGATCAGATCTAAAACATAAGTAGAAAAACGTACAACTAATCAGACATATTGTGTCGGTAAAATTACAACTAATCTAAAATTTAAATAGGTTATACTTCTTGTATAAAGTCGGGCAGTTTTAATTAAGTAGAGAAAAATATAGATAGTCAGACAGCGCATCACATGCGCTACAAAATATAAAACTACGACTTGCAGAGTGTCCGAAAAAAAAAAACATTTAGCAAAATCTAAGCGCATCGAAGCAAAAGTGTCGCGTGACATTATTTAAAACTGTCCAAGGTGGTCTGGGTCGGGCTTAGCTGAAAGCGCAAGTTGATTTAAGCTATCGCGTATGATAATCATTCAAGTATGTAAGCGTTGAAAAAAACGATATTTGTTGAACGCGCGTATTCACTTGAAACCGCTTCGGGCCGAAAGACAAACAATAAAGAAGACAGATTTACGAGGCGCCATAAAATTCGCGGGGTTAATCTATCACGCATGCAAGCTCATTTATTTCCGAACGTGAAAATTCCGCGAGCGCGCTGCAGAAACGGTCAATCGAATGGTTGCGCGCTGGCCCGAGTTCCTCGAGCATACGTTGAACGTGCTACGGAATATTTCACCCACGAGCTGCATTTCACTTCCCCGCGCAAACGCACGGAGATTGCTCTCCTATCTGACCCAGGCTGCTGGACTCGAGAGGGGAAGGGGACCACACGCGTTTATTTAAAAAATGATTTAACCTAATGGTTTTACATATGTAATCCCGATATAAACCCGAGGCTAATCTCGGGCGACCACACGCGGTGCTAC